CAGTAAAAACTGCAATCAAACGACTGCAATAACTTGCAGTGAGCCTTTTATATCACTGTGGAGGAGTTTTTGGCCCACCCATCCTTGAAGAATTGTTTTAGTTTAGCTACATTGGTGGGTTTTTTAAAGCATGAACTGCCCGTTTAAGGTCTTGCCACAGCATCTCGATGGGATTCAAGTCGGGACTTTGACTCGGCCACTCCAAAACCTTAATTTTGTTTCTTTTGAGCCATTCACAGGTGCACTTGTTTGTGTTCTTTGAATCATTGTCCTGCTGCAAAACCCAGTTGCGCTTGAGCTTGAGGTCACAAACTGATGGGCACACATTCTCCAGAATTCATGGTTTCACCAATTATGACAAGTTTGTCCAGGTCCTGCAGAAGCAAAGCAGCCCCGAACCTTCACACTACCACCACCATGTTTCACTGTTGGTTTGATGTTCTTATGGTGGAATGTTGGTTTTAGCCAGATTAAACAGGACCCATGTCGTCCAAAAAGTTCCATCTTTGACTAATCACAGATGTCTTGATGGTCATCTAGATGTTTTTTGGCAAATGTGAGACGAGCCTTTGTGTTCGTTTTAGTCAGCAGTGGTTTCTGCCTTGCAGCTCTGCCATGGATGCCATTTTTGCCCAGTGTCTTTCTTATTGTAGAATCTTGTACATTGATCTTAACTGAGGCAAGTGAGGCCTGCAGTTCTTTAGATGTGTGTCTGCGTTCTTTTGTGACCTCCTGGATGAGTCCTCGATGCGCTCTTGGTAAAATTTTGGTAGGCCGGCCACTCCTGGGAAGGTTCACCACTGTTCCAAGTTTTCTCCATTTGTGGATAGTGGCTATCTCTGTGGTACGCTGGAGTCTCAGAGCCTTAGCAATGGCTTTGTAACCCTTTCCAGACTGGTAGGTTTCAATGACTTTGTTTCGCATCTGTATTTGAATCTCTTTAGAACGTGGACAGGTTCTATTTAAGTTCTATTTAAGTAACGTTTAGATTTAACAGGTCTGGCAGTAATGTGTGTGTCTGGTGAAATTGAACTCAGAACGTCAACTGAATCTGGTTAATTGGTTGAATCAGTAGCTAAGGAACCTGTCCAGGGTGTATCCTGCCTTCCACCCAATGACTGCTGGGATAGACCCCAGCTGCCCCCCTGTGACCCAGAAGGATAAGCGGCTTAGAAGATGTGTGTGTGTGTGTGTGTGTGTGTGTAGTAGGGGGCAATTACTTTTTCACATAGGGTCAGGTAGGCCTGAACAACATTTTTCCTTCCATAAATGAAATGTTCATTTAAAAACAGCATTTCTTGTTCATCTTTGCCTAACATTAAAAGTAGTCTGATGATCTGAAACGTTCAAGTGTGACAAATGTGCATAGAAGAAACTGGGAAGGGGCAAATACTTTTTCACAGCATTGCACATACTTTGCTGTTTTGCTCTCTTTCATACAACTCAGGCCTGACTTGACTTTGTAAGCCTCATGCAAGTTCCTCTTTGCCCAGCTTTCAAGTTCAGCAGTGCGTCTTCCAGATAGAGCCGCTAGACGTCATTGCCGCTGTTTGGGAAGGCATCACATGATTGAAACTGACCACAAAAGCGACCTCCGGAAAGATGTCTTCTAAACTTGAATGCCTCGTCCAGATGTGGCTGGTTTCCTTTCTTGAGTAACCATAAGTGCAGTATGTGCTCATTTTCTGATGATTCAGTTTTTAATTATACGTCTTTGTGAAGCACAAGATTAGACATATAGCTAGACTTAACTGACTTCCTAAGGGCATTTACTTCAGTGCAGTGTAAGTTATGACAATAATACCATTGTATTTATATAACAGAGCCCAGAAATATTACTCATTAAATAACGGCATTAAGTTTTATATGTAGAGCAGTTATATGATTATGTGTACAGGGCATCCAGCTGTGAAAGGTCACATAGACACAGTAATTTACCTTATACGCACTAAAGGTGTTGGTATGTAGAACAAAGGGACATGCATTTATTCAGTCATCATAAAATTTCTTTCTATTCTTTGAAATAGTTTGCATGTTTCATATACATGTATAGTATATATATGTGTGTGTGTGTGTGTGTGTGTGCATACCATGCTGTGCAATGGTCAACATCAGGGAAAATGTATTTAACATGAACACAGAAGCCACAACAGTGATATTTTATTCTGAGTGGTCCTTTTTAGAAGAAATAAACACTCCATAAAGTTACGTGTCAATGATGTATCATTGATTAAGCAGCGCTGAACACATTCAGTAGATTATCAAGAGACTTTTTTAATTGTCTGCGTAAATAAAATGTGTTTATAATCTGCTGAACTCTCACTTTATTTGGATCTGTAGATGATTAATCTGAGAGGAACTGAACATTAACAGGTTTAATACAGATCATCAACATCCTCAACGAGCTGTTATGAATACACTGACACCATTCTGTGCCTGGAGGTTAACTGGATTAGGGTTTGGTTAAAGTTAAGATTAGGATTAGAATTAGGATGAGGGTGAGGGTTAGAATTATTTTATGGCATGAGATTAAGGTTAGGATTATGATTAGGGCCAGGGTAAAGGTTTTGGATTAGGTTTTGGGTTGAGGTTAAGGTTAGGGTTAGAATTGGGATCAGGGTGAGGGTTAGAATTAGGTTTTGGCATGAGATTAGGGTTAGGATTAGGAATAGGGCCAGGGTAAGGGTTTGGATCATGTTTTGGGTTGAGGTTAAGGTTAAGGTTAGGATTAGGGCCAGGGTGAGGGTTAGGATTAGGTTTCGGGTTGCGGTTTTAGTTTAGGGTTAGGATTAGGGCCAAGGTTAGGGTCCGGTGTTGGGTTAAGGTTGGTAAGGTTAGGTTTTGCGTAATGGAGGTAACATATTAACAACACATCTACTTAATGTAAGTAATGAATCAACAGAACATCTACAGGATATTTACTTCAGTGTATTCAGATGCTTCACTACTGCTACCTCACTGATATGTTGTTAATGTGTTATTGATAATCTGTTAAGAGTTTATTAATCATCTACAAATGACCACTCAAAATAAAGTGTTACCACCAAAACAGGTAAATATGATGTCAACACTTTCAGTATTCAGTGTGTCACTCTTCACCTTTATTACAGCATCCATTCTTTTCGGGAGACTCACATTCAGTTTTTTTAAGTAAATCTGCAGGCACACCTCCAAAGTTCAGTCTTAGAAGTTGGTTGTATTTCCTGCTTTTCACCATCCAAATAATCCCAATAACAAATTTAGACGTATCAGTCCACATCTTCATGTTCTGCTGCAAGTGCTCTCTTTAACAGCTGCATATCCTTTCAGACCCATAGCAATGAGTCGTCCCTTTTTTTGCCTTTTTCTCCTAAAAGTTTGAGATCATTGCAATAAAACGAAAAGAAGTTGTAGGTATAAAATATTTAATAAAAAAACAACGTATAGTATTCAGTTTATTGAACGACATAACAGCAATTGATTGCAAAAGTCCTGTCTCCCTTAGTTAGTGTTGCTACATTCTGTATAGGCTACTTGGTATCCATAGTACCTGCAACAACAGAGGATAAAGGCCGGCTTTCCCAAAAGCATCTTGTCATAAAGCCCATTCTAAAATGGCAGAGCGAGCATCACACTGTACACTCTCTCTACCAGATACCCCCTTACAATCTCAGGCTTATTACACACTAAAGCTTATTATTCAGTAACTACAGGGACTTCACTGCAAACTGGTTGAGCTATTCTTAGGATATAAGAATGTAATAAAACTGACGCTGGCCATGTAAGGGATTAAGATGGTCTGAACACTAAGATGTTTTTGGGAAACTGGGCCAAGTTCTGTAGTCAGTGCTGCCAGACTGGATGGTTTCCCAGTTTGGATTTTAGTAGGATCGTTTCGAGAAAATGTGGTGGGTGGACAAAATTTAGTTTGTCATGATTTTAGCAGGTTTTTAAACAGAATATGAAACAAATCCATCACATTGATCCTAATGTAGCTAAATGTGAACAGACCAAACGTCCTCCCACTTCCAAACAGTTATCAGTGCTTTGACATAAACTTTATTCATTTCTATTGAGAGGAGGCCATTGCCCCGCCCATCGGCATCGTTAGCAATTTCAAAGGCATGATATGACATGAATTTTGCAGTTCACTTGATATTGCTGACCCTTGCTATACGGTGTGGCCTATGGAGGTGAGCTTATTTATAAAATGTCTGAGAGCAACATTTACATTTGGGGCATATCCTGAGACTTACAACTCAGAGGTAGGCAATGGTACTGTTAGGAGTCTAGCTGTTGGTATAGCTTGCAGAAGGTACCAGAACACCTGCTTCACTACTGAACGCATTGATGTAGATTGACCACACACCACCTGACCATCACTGTACACCTGCACTTTACATTACGTTACACTTTAAATCATAACCTTTGAATGCTGCTATCGGATCCCAACCCATGTATACTGTTTTGCTGTCTTGTCATGTGTACTTGTCATGTATATGTATTGCTCTGTTCATTTGTCTTGTTTATTTATTAATCTGTATGTTTATTGTATATTCTGCACTCGTCATGTCTCTACATATGTATATCACGTGTCAGGCTCCAGTCCTCACGGGCCAAAACACTGCAGACTTCAGTACACTGCCTCATTAAACACACCTGATTCAGCTCATCAGGTAAACAGCGAGGCCTTCATGAACTGAATTCAGATGGTTAGATGGGGTAAACGCTGATCTCCACAGCACTTTGGCCCAGAAGGTCCCCAGTTTGACACGTCTGGTGTATGTAGTCCTGTGTAATGTCCTGCTGCTCTGTGTTGCATCATGGGGACATTATCTTCCAATCTAAACAAATTACACTGCAGAATGACCACCAAAGAAAGAGCTTGACAACTTCCCTCTCCTAAGCCAAGATGAACACATAATTCACAAGGCTAGTTAAGGCATATTATTATGAGTTATTGTTATGAGAGTTCTGCATATCTGCATTTGCTTTCTTGGACATAAAAACAAATGATGCTGTTGAACATTTAAAATCTTTAATAGCTTTTCTTTAATAATATTCATTTACATAAATATATAGCATATGTGAACTGAATGTATATACAACAGTGTGTACAGTATAATACACTCCTGGGCAAAGAAAATGGGTCAAGCCCAAAATATAAAGACTTCTACTGATGGGTTTGACTTGGTGAGAGTCCAGATTTAACCCCTATAGAGAGTCTCACATTAAACACAAACTAACTCGGCAGTGTTTTTCAGCTGTTTGAAGTCAAAGGGAAAATCTATCTCATACTAACTTACTGCATCTGTTTGGTTAATGATTTGTTGTTAAGACCATTAAAAGCTTAATGATTTGTCATTTTTGGGCTTGGCCCATTTTTTTGCCCAGGACTGCCCGACATGCTCTGCAATCCAAACAGCACCAACGATGCCTCAAGAAGGAATATGACGAATCTCTTTCTGATAATACGGTTCATTTTATTAAGGCTGAACTGCTCTGAGGCTTCTGCCCAGCCAGAGCAGCGTAGCATATGTAGCCCCAGTTTATCCCAACATGCCTACTAACAGGGCTGTGTTGCTCACATGTAAGTACATAATGGCATATTTGATTTCCTACTAGGGCTGGACAATATGATAATATATACTGTTACTGTGATAACACATTGTCACATTACAGTAAAATATGTTTTTGTGGACATATCATGAATATCGTCAGCACTTGTAGTTAGAACACTGACCAACTGCATGTTTTATTATAAAGAGACCAAAATTAGTCCCATTTAACTGAATTTAATGCAACAAAGGATGCCAAATATTGAATAAAATCATTGTATTCCCATTTTTTGATAGTATTTTTTTAACATGCAGCACTACTTGTTCTTTTTTTCTGTGTTCCAACTGATCAGCTGTCTGAAAAAGTAACGATTGTGGAAATTAGGGTATTGCAATATCCTATATATTGCAATATTATATATTTGCCATATCGCTCACCCATTGCCTAGAAAGTTATACAACAGGTCTGAGTCTACACATTTGACATTTTTCTCGTTTTAATATCATTAAAAGACAAAAACATGATAAAAACGTTCTTTCTGCAAAACAAGACTGTACACGCAACAATAACTTCCCAAATCCAAATTATAATAAAATATCTCCTCTGCTATTTACAAACATAAACGTGGGATCTATTGAAAGTTTAGAATCTGCACTTTCCAATATAAGTAAGAAATAATTTATAGAAAATTACAACATGCTTCTTTTAACGCCGACGATGACGGCAGCTAACAAAGCGATGAGTGAGCACCCATTTCACTCCTATAGAAAAACTGTCTGTCTATGCCAACACTTGACTTTAAGACAGTATTCACAACGAATGAATGGCATTATTTCAAATAAAGGTGCAATAAGAAAGTGCATCAGTATACCACTACAGAAAGAAAAGGTAGCTTAAGTGCTCTACGAACAAATCCGGCACCCCTAACCTGTGGGCTCGTAGTGGGCCATGAGGAACGTTTTGGTCCTCACATTCCCATCACAGTCTAAGAGGCTCAGGTCGCTGGACCGCAACTTGAGCGTGTCGCCCTTTTCCAAAGTCAAGACTTCTTCAGAGTACATGGACTTTCTCCAGGTGAAGCTCTTGCAATAGATGGTTTCATAGACACTCAGAGTGGACATGGCTTGCTCGTATGCCTTGGTGTAGCGGTCAAGCTGGTTGGACAGTATAATCAGCTCGTCGCACAAAGCATCCTCTCTGCCCCTGTAGGTGACCTGCAGAGAGATCCTGTACGTTCCATCTTGATGAATGACCAGAGACTCGTTATCTGTGCCCAAAGAAAAGCCAACAAGCTCGCGTTTTATCGCCCATTTAATGTATCCAGGTTGAGGCGCTGAACTGGCAGGGCAGAGAACTGTGAAAGGAAGGAAGAGAATCACCGTAAGTACAGTTTGCTGGTACAAAGGTGATGGACATTATATTAAAGGGCCTATATAATGGAAAACATTTTTTTTAATGAAAGCGTTTGATGTAAAATGTAACACTGTGAAAGTTTTATAACGTACAGTTCACTCTCCGGTCCACATAACTAAACCAAGCTGCAAAAACCTGTTGTTGTTTTTTTGTCATGTCACAAAAAGCAGCTAACAGCAGTTTGTCTCCTCCTAATCTTGCTTAAGTTACAAGAACTCTTTCAGCCTGGCAGCCAATCTGAATCAAAGGTCATTAACATACACCACACTTATAGGCACAGTCTGTTTAATTCTGCTGGAAAATGATCATGTTAAAATGAATTGTGACCAAATTTGGTCCATAAAACCACACACATTATAAGTGGACCTCAGGGGGAAAATGAAACCCCCCAAAAGGCCTTTTAACTACTATTACTACAGTGTGAAGGGGAAAATAAAAAAACCCTAAAAATGTCAGATATGAGCCCTTATTATTACTACAGTGTGGTAACCATGGTGGTTCCTCTGGCCAGGCTGGTCAGCCTGGCATCATAGATCACCCACCTGGTCACCTATGTTTCTTACATGAATGTAACCTTATAACGTATCACTGCTGAAAAACAAATATACAAATATGCTGGTCTGGTGCTGGTTTAGCTGGTCACCCAGCATGGTCACAACTGTATTAATAAAATTCAACATTGCAATGTTTTCAAAATATATCATGCTATCTCAGCATCTGATGAGGGTGAGGGTCCTTGGGGGTCCTGACCACTGGAGAACAGGGTAAAAGGGGGCTAACAAAGTATGCAGAGAAACAGATGGACTACAGTCTGTAACTGTAGAACTACAAAGTGCACCTATATAGTAAGTGGAGCTGATAAAATGGACAATGAGCGTAGAAACAAGTCATAATGTTATGCCTGATCGGTGTAAATGCCATGCAAGCAAAAATCAGGTCTTCACCATTCTACGGTCGCAGTTCAGTGTTGAGGTGCTGTTAATAATCAACCGCAAGTTCCTTTCATGTTTCTCTGAGTAGCAAAAGTGTTGCATCAGTAGGCTGGCTGTGTGAGGAACTGTGATTTGATTGCGTCCTGAAAAGCGTCACACTGACCCATTCAGCTCAACTCTGCGATGACTCAACCTCGTACCACGTGCCTACCGGTTTCAACTTCTACTGAGGATCTCATGTTTAATCCCAGTGGCCACATTACAGAAACAATCTAAGTATGAAATCTGTTTATTCACTCAGTAAGGACTAAATTTAGGACAGGATCTCTTACAGGACAACAGTTCGTAACTTCATAACCCCAGATATTACAGTACGGTAATACAGTAACATTCTGTACGGTATTACAGAAACATTCTAACTAGTAAAAATTCTTCTTAACTTTAGGACAACCCCAGCGGTGTCCTAACTTCTGTTTCAGCCTTTTGTTTCTGTTGATTTTAGGCAAATGTGACAGGCAGCATAGTTCAATATAAGCATAACTGGCATAATAAGATTACATTTATTAATACCGCAAAATGCCAGTTTCAACTGTGAGACTCCACCATCTCCACCATCCCCTCTTATCACCTGCATGTTAGTGTCAGTGAATACTGTTGTGAATAACAACATGTGGCTGTTTATTAGGAGGAATAAGGTTAGCGCAGCTTGAAGGCTGACTAAAGCATTCGGGAAATGGAAACTGAAACTGAGGACTGGTGACACTCAGCAGGTGTCGTTCTCACAATATTCTCAACTACCAGTTTACCGCGCTTTATTTTTGTTTTGACAGTTTTGCATTGGTAACAGTAACTATTTAGTGAAGAAACCTACATTTTTAAAGTCTTTTTGACTACATATTTGCGTTTCAGCTGTGCTCTTATTGTCAGTTGCTTGGCAACAGACATAACAGTTGATTGTAACTATTTAGTGAAGAAACCTACATTTTTAAAGTCTTTTTGACTACATGTTTGCGTTTCAGCTGTGCTCTCATTGTCAGTTGCTTGGCAACAGACATAACAGTTGATTGTTGACTTTGATAAACTCTTAAATTAGAATGAGATTTGCATCTTGTACAAAACCATATCTTGACCTTGTCAGATCTGAACTGAAGACTAAACATAAGAGGTTTCTGTGATGCAGCTCCTGGATTCTTACATCCTAAGGCTTATTATTCAGTGACTACATGGAAAAACGTATGAACTGGTGAAGTTATTTTTCTTAGGAGTGAGGAATGGAAACCAGGATGTGACGACAACTCCTGGGCATTTATGATATTAAAGCCTTGTTTATGCCACCATCCATCGCCAACAAGACTCAACCTATAGCGTTTGCAACACATTGTTGTACCAAAATCCGATATGTCTGAAACGGTGACTTTGAGGGAAAAAGTATGTTATTAACTTTAATGCCTGTTAATATTATCAGATTATATTCCAAGCAGTGATGTTCCCAAGTCCAAGATCGGTTTCAAGATGTATAGAATTTCAGTTTAGTCTTAACACTAGCTGCAAGCGCTGTATTGTGCAAAAGCAAACCTAAAACCTGTCAGCTTATAAGCAGTTTCAATGACGAGCCCTTCACTGAAGGACAAAACTGAAGCGCTACACACAGTAAATGCGGCACTTAAAGGAAAGAGGACAAACAACTGGAAATGGTTGGCTAGTCTGTAGTTTACATGGCACATAAGCTAACTATCAATGTGAAGCTTCTCCATCAACTGAAGAACCATTTCACCATGCAGAGAACCATATAAGCATGCAAATGGTTCTAAAGCGACGTTCACATTACAAGCCACTGTTCTCAAATCCGATTTTTTGCTCAAATCCGATCTCTCTAACACGATGGTTCACACTCGTTTAGGTAAGTGACTCAAATCTGTCATTAGTGTGAACGAACCGGCGTCCTGGAATGACCCTCATGAGCTCATCCTACTCAGTAACGTCACGTGAATGAATCACGTGCATCATCAGCACAAAGTAACGAGCAGAACGAGCTTCGCTGAGAAGATAATTAACTCTGATCAGCTCTCAGCTTCATTATTAGAGCGAGACGGAGGAGAAAAAGGTGAGATGAGCTGCTTTTCCACCGTTTACAGGCTTTAACTCCTGTTCGGCGCTGCTGCCATGGTAACGCTGAATGATGGCGCAGTGGAATAAAAGCACATGAATTCCGATCTGAGCGTCACATTAAGGTCGCATGGCCACGAATCTGATACGTATCTGATCTAGGACCACATATGAAAGTGGCTCAGGTGGATTTGAAAAGGTCAGATTTGCGTCCACACAGCTCTGAAAACATCAGATCTGAGTCACATTAGGGCAAAAAATCAGATTTGTGCCACTTCAGCCTGGTAATGCGAACGTAGCCTAAGTAATCCATTGCCCTTACTAAAGAACCCTTGAAAAACCACAGTCATCATCAACTAATAGCCAATCCAGCTGAAGTTTTAGTACGTTTTAAAGGAATGTGATCTAGATTGATTGGCAACTTCAGCTAAAGTAGATACAGCGCAGTACATCTCGCACACTTGCTATCCAAACTTAACGCTAGCCGAGTTGTTTTTCCTCTTTCCTCGATGCACCGCATTCACTGCACGCAGCACTTCATTCTGTCCATTAGATTGAAGGTTGTTCTACAGTGAAAAGCAGCATCGAAGCTAACGCTGCTGCCATCTGCAGGTGAAAAGCATTACAGCAAAGATCGCTCAGGCTAGATAACAATGTTTTACTTATTTACTGAGGTGAGGTTTAGAATTCAGCCCCCATCTTGGATTCTAAATAATTCCAGACCATTTCCATTGGAGTTCACACGATACAAACAACGGCTGGCGCTTGCAAAAGGTACTAAAGCCCCTGCGTTGCTCAATCGCTAAACAGAACGTCAAACATGAGAAACCAGACATTTCTTTAAACGTTATCTGAACGACTAACGTCATAAAGCGCCTGATGTAGTAAGTCAAGCAGGTCTTCACATGCATGCATCTACTTCCATATAACAATCTGCCATTTCCATCTAAGCACTGTAATCACCAGCTTTGGCACCATGTTTTCCTCAATAAAATGTGATGGTGTACTTACTGCTGAGAGAAGCTGATGGAGGCTTCTCGGGGTTATCTTCACGAGCAGCAACTTGTGGTACGACCCTTAATGGCAGTTCTCCTGGAGAAACAAGAGGAAGGCGTGTTGAGGCTCATGCAGTCTTTTATTGCTACCAGCATTGTACACCTGCGTGTTGTAGCACTTTAATTTTACCGAAGGCTAAAATTACAGCATAGTCAGCACTTACTTCACCTTCAGGCCTGGTTAATCACCGTTAAAGCTTTATCATGTGGTAAAGAAAGCAAGAATTACCATTTGTCTTGACGTTGTGTCCTCTGTCCTGTGAAATAACAGACAGGAGTTGGATTAGTGACTGGTGTTCATAGCAGAATTTAAAGCCCTGTATCTGCTTGCATAGTTAGATGCTTAAGGGATCAATTTAAAGCTGTACAGTTTTGTCAGAAACAGTGTTCAGCTTACAGAGGATCTCTGATTTCTCTGAAGTTAAACACGATGTGAACAGTCTTTCAATGAGTTTCGATGTGAGACGGTTCACTGTAGAGAAACATACTGATGGTGGTGATAGGAACCAGGAGTTGTGATGTCTACAACACAAATGTGGCATTTTATGTATAATGCAAAATACTTAGTACTGTGATAAATAGTGATAAATCTAAAAAAAAATAGTTTTTCCTGGGGGACTATTTTGCCGTACCACACCTTGCACACACCCCTTCATACTCATTTTGTGTGATCACTTTCTCTGAGGTCGATTTTAGAGAAAAGTTTCAGACGTCTGGTTCCTATCACCACCACTGCGAACAATTCTGACTCGATTCTGAATGGAGCACTTCACACCAAACCACTCTGAATGACTTTACATAATAACAGTTTTAACATGGAGAAGTTTAGAAAAATCGGTGGAGTTCCCCTTTGAAACACAACAATGGATTTTATACCACTCACTTAAGTTAAAGAGAACACTTCAGGCAAATTTCACTCAACATACATTATGCAATTGCATTTTGAAAAGCAGCCCACGCTGTAATTGCAGCAAGCAGTGAACGTTGTGCAACTAAAATTTATCCAGCTGTTTTACGGACAAGTCCAACGCTTGACTGAAAGACAGAGCTATTGCTTTAAAGATCGACAGCAACTGCGATTGCACAATCTTAAACTGCACCTGGAAAAGTGAATATAAGCTGTGAATAAGTGAACGCAGATCTACACAACTAAGCCGTTTGCCTTCGGGGAAAACAGTCTGGGTCTGAATGCTGCGCACTTTTCATGCTCCAGATTTTGGCTAGGCAGGATATTCAGGTCAGCGCAGGGTGTGCATGTTTTAAATTCTGCCATTTGTGTTCAATGGAACAACAATGCATGTCTGCTTCTTATTAGCCATGTGCTTTTTTTATATTTAGTGCTTGAAGTCTATAAGTGTGTGGTAGAGTGGCTGCGTAAGAGGAAATTATAAAGCTAGTTGAATGGTTTTGTATCTTATTGCGTCTTATTGTACTGCATAAAAACATCACAGTGCGTACTTAACTGGACCGTGTCCTTGTCCTGCTGTACTGTACTGCATCAAATAGCACTGTAAAGCCAAATCGCACTGCATTGAATGTCTGTAGGACTCGGACAGCATTATTACATACATTCATCATACATTGATCTTGCAGTCAAACAAAGTCCACAGAGCCCTTTACACACAGTCAACGACTGCATACGCATGTAGCAAACTAACCAGTTCCACTCCCTCATGTCCACGTGAGGGGAATTCCACCCAAAATGTCTGCAAAATTAAACCTTTAAGATGTTAACCAAGTCATTCAGAGTGGTCTGTTATAAATTCTCCATTCTAGAAACACTGAGCCAGAATCGTTCTCAATAAGCGTAATAGGACCCAGATGTCGGTCTCTGAAAGGCTCCTTACAGAAAGTGCTTATGAGTTGCCAGAGGATAATTCTGAAAGGTTTTTGCCTATTTTTTTAAGCCATCTAGGACTATTTCATTTGCATAAACACAGCAATACCCGGTTCCTATCACCACCACTGTAAAGAAATCTGAGCAGGTATGTTTCTCTCCAATGAAACATTTCCCATCAAATCACCCTGGATGACTTTGCTTGTCTCTCAAGTGTTGAATTATGTGGAATGTTTTGAAAAATGAGTGGAGTTCCCCTTTCAAGCACAATCTGGCTGTGCGTGTGAAAAGAAACAGGACGAAAAAGGAGCAGCTGAACAAACCGAGCACAGCAATGCAACCAAATGTTTACATCATGAATAAACCATATGTGATTTATTGTATGTTATCCACGTGGAAAGACCAGGCGTTTAAATCAGGTCAATTCAATGCACGCGGTCATGTAATAAGCTGTAATAAGCTGGGTCTTACATTGCACGCCGGCCTCTGCTGGATGAAGAACAGAAGGCTGAAAGTGCTGCACAAGAGCAGGACGAGGATGATGACGGCCATGCGCGTGATGCACAGCTCGCGCCTCAGCGCGCGGTGCGAGTGGATGAAGGCGTCGGACTCCAGCAGCATGTTGTAGGTCTCAGCTTGGACTGTATGCTCTCTGCTCAGCTCCATCGGTGCCATGCGGGACAGCATGACTCCCATCCTCGTTTTAAACTCTCCTGTTTATCATATTCACCCACGTTCACGCATTGACGCCCAAAACAAACATCCAGCCCGTGAAGTTTCGACAGCGTGAAAAACTCTCACCGTGCCACTCAGCTCACACAACCTGATTAACCAATACCCGAGACTTCCTGCCCGCCCGCTGCGGCTCCCTCACTCGGCCGCCGCTGAGGGGTGGAACGCGTCAACATTTACATGTCATTTGCATAGCCTTCTCTGATTGGACGCTGCGAGTTACACCTCATTTGCAAGAAATGCTGTTCGCCCTGCGCTCACACCGGTGTTCTGGCAATTTGTCCCACCCATGGATTGGTCCTACTGAGCATGCGCATACCATTACTATCGCGTGGTAACGTAATGCTAAACGTTTTGTTGTGTTTTTACATGTTAATTCACTACAGACTCAGCTTAATATTATTACTTACTCCCTGATGAGATGATTTACGCGATCAAAATGTCCTATATACAGTTTTATGTAGAGCGCTACCTAAAAATACGTGGTACGGTTGGACATTTCGACAGGGTAGTGCAATTCGTCAGGACAGGGACGGCAGCTGCTGTCCCAGTTCAGGGGCTGCGTCCTTCGGAGGCTGCATTTGGAGGCCGATTTGCGTCACAGACAGCGCGACCAAGCTGTCCCATTTCGAAGGCTCCTTCATATGCGGCCGAGAAATGTGTCCTTCTTTTCCATGGCAATGAAGGATCCAACGGGCGCATCCTGAGGTTCGTTGTGTGCCGGCGAGGATTCGAGAACGTGGTGGCATCAACAGAGAAGCGAACGGTGGCTGAAGAATACATTTTTAAACATAAATTAAATATATAAATATAAGTATTGGCTAACGATACAACATTCTCATCAGTAACCGGCAGTGAAGCATCTCCAGCTCTAATCAATTACAAAATAAACAACTAAAGTCAAAGTTTCTGGCTCCATCTTCAAGGAACTTTAAAAGAACTTGACAGGAGCGGCGTTTCGTGATGCAGTGCTGAGGGTGGGAACAGCGGTGCTTTTCGAAAAAGAATGACCGCATCACCCCTGCTCTTCAGAGTCTTCACTGGTTGCCCATTACATTCCGTATTCAATACAAGGTTCTCCTTATAACGTATAAAGCTCTGCACAGTCTGGCTCCTCAATACTTGGCAGGGCTTCTTCATCTATATGTCCCATCCCGTACCTTGAGATCACAAAATCTAGGCCTACTTCATGTTCCTAGATTTAAAGTGACTTCTATGGGTGGTCGATCATTTAATGTAGTAGCTCCCAAGTTATGGAACACTCTCCCACAGTCTATTCAGGATGCAACCTCTCTGTCCTCATTTAAATCTCTGTTAAAGACTTGTTTTCACTGTGTTGTCGTTGTTCCGTTTATACTTTATTTCGTTTATATGTTTACCTGTATTGTCCTTTTGTTTAATGTGTTGATGCTCTTTGATTGTAAAGCATCCTTGAGCATGGGAAAAGCGCTATATAAATAAAAGTGATGATGATGATGATGATGATGATAACACAAACAGAAAATCCACCGTAGAGCAGACTGTCTCATTTCAGTTCAGCCTTTGTGGGTCTAAACAGCCTTTGAAGGACACGCCTTCGTAGACCACATCCTTCGAAGCATCCAGCCCCTGAACACACTTGCTCAACGCCTGTGGGCATTTCTGAACTTGGACTGAGCGTTGATTGCCATGGTTTCACTGATGCCAAACACAAATCAGATGCATTCCCACTAAAAATAAAAATCTCGGTGAGAAATCGCTTGTGTGCTTATTTTTATTTAATCCCTGTCTGTGCAGTTAGTATGTGAGGAAAACAGTACTTGGTCTTTGTGATCAGCGTCTTTGCGTTGAAGTCACCGCCGCCATTATTGCATCTCTAGTAGGAACCAAAAAAGGAGCGCACTGTGTCACAGTGGCGGAGATAAAGCGTGTACCACGCTGCTCAATCAGAGCTGGTTTATGAGGAGTCTGGCCACTTCCTATTTTCCCCATTGTATCAAAAACATGATTGACAAACAGCAGAGGGCGCCCGCGAGTGAGTCCTCAATAAATGGGAGTAAATGGAGCTAAACGGCTGAAAACAAAACGTTAAAATACAGGGTGTCCCAAAAAATGTACATCATTTGAGATGTGAATATCTGAGTAACTACATGTCCTAGAAAACGAAATTAAATAGGCATCATGTTGAACAATACAAGATTTATTTATCAAAATTCAAACAAGAAACTCAGAGAGGTGTAGATTTTATAATCGATTTCACAGCTTCACAAATGTAATATCCCCCGACACTGGTGGGCATCCAGATCCCTTTGTCCTGCACAGACAGCCTTCCTCTTTGAATTTTTTGTGCCATGTCCAAATCTGTTTTCCAGTTGGTGCATTTTTATTGAGTTTTCTCAAAAATGCGTGCTGCACACTCTTGTTTGACTGTGTTCGAGCATATTCTAACACACAAAATGCCTTTTCATTTCTAGTGAACGCCAGAGAGAATTGGCTGTTGTTAGACTACGAAATGATGTCCATTTTTTGGGACACACTGTAGTTTCTAATCACTCCCCCAGAACTTTCCTTTAATTTTAGAAAGTAGAAGGACGTATTTCACTAAAAAAGCAAAGAAAAATCACCTGTATGTTTCCTTTTTTCTACAGCAAACAGGTTTTGGGCAGTACAATACTACATATAGTACAAGACGTGGCGACACCCCTAAGCTCCTCATTGCAGCGCAGCACACAACGCCCTGCCCCTCACACAGGACACACAGCCTGAACAAAGTTTCCTGGGACTCACCTGTATGAACTGACCCTCCTGACGATAATGCTGCTCCTGCTGCACAGACTCGGACTACTTAATCATAACCATTGTTTCTCCTGCTTTTCACCTCTTCCATATCAAACGGAAACCTTATTCTCCGCTTTTATTGTTTGCTGTCCGGTGTTGACCAGAGAAGAATGGGTTTTGAGTATTGGCTCCTGTCCAGGTTTCTACCTCTTGCTCTTAGGGAGTTTTTCCTGCCACTGTCGCCATTGGTGATGCTCATTGTGGCTTAGACCCAGGTTTTTCTGTACAGCTGCTTTGTTTCAACACCTGTTGTAAAAAGCGCTACATAAATTAACTTTGACTTGACTCGACTTGACTTTTGGCATCTGGAAAAACTACAAAACTGAGAGATAGGGATGACACAGATAAGGTTCCAGTCTATGGCGCAGTCTTCCATAAAAAATTACTGGCAGGGATGAACACTGCTGTCGGATTTCTGTTGTTTCCCCATTAGCTGTGAGACTGTCTTGCATCCTTTGATCTCTTTTAACTCTCAACAACGAATAAAAGCCAGCCCAAGGTTTGCTCTTGTCTGATCTCTTGCTCAGTCACCCTCTCTTTTTCTTTTCCTCGCTTCCTCCAATAACGTCTTCTTCGGTCTCACAGCCTCTCCCATGATGTCCATGCTGGGAATATTGAGCTTCTTCTTATAGCTTGCTGTGTGTGACGTAAAGAAACTGTAAAGAAATCTGAGTCTCTACAGTGAACCAATTCACACCAAACCTCTCTGAATTAGGGTTGCCAGACTTCCTTTATTTCCGCGTGTTTTAGAGTTCAATAATTATCTGTATTTGTTCATTTGAGAAAATACACAAATAATTCATGAACATTATGAGTTACACTCATTAAGTCAGGGGGGTTCAACGCTATCCACAGTGTGCTGTTGTGGCTGTGGGTTTTCATTCCAACAAAGCAGAGGCACACAAGATTATACATGTTCACTTGTTTCACTTCTCAGCAAAGGCTTTAGGTGTTGGAATGCTTTTTTGGAATGAAAACCAACAGCCACTCTGGCCCTTTGCGGATAAGATTGGGCAGCCTTTCATGAAGTGCTGTACAAATCACTTTTCCAGTCTGCTATTTGTCTTGTCGTTGTGTGACACAAGTAAAAGTACAAGAAAACAAGCCAACGTTTGTTCAATGCGTCCACTGTAGGTGGACCAATTTTCATTTAGAATACTAAAGGAATCTGACATGTCATATTAACTACTAACATAATCAGAAACGGACAGTGGAATCAATCAAGTTCGGAATTAGAGGAAAGAACATCACTCTAGTCCTCCTGGAAGTTGGACGTCACTGATGAGCCATAGTCTAAGCAGGTTTCAGGTAGTTGTTAGGAATGGAAAACAGCGGCGGCAGCACTGTGCCAGGGCTCTTTACTGAAAGAGTCACTGTAAACCTGATATGTACAAGCTCAAATATGCATTCATGTCTTTTACAAGCTTTAAATACCAGTCTCATGTAAATCACTGTTAGCTTACATACTACTAAATTATAATTTTAGAGGTATAAAATCAGTGAACTGGCTCTCAACTGCAGATGAAGAATGTACATTTTAAATTTCCGCAAATACAGCGGGGGAAGTAAGTATTTAATGTCAACAAATTTTTAAAATATATTTTCAAAGAAGCGATTTACATGAAGTTTAGACCAGACATTGGTGTTCATTCAATAAAACTACACAGCTAAAGAAATCTTATCATTCCAATCCATAAAACATTCTGTGCAAAGTCAAAAAAGCATTGAACACACAAACTGAAACTGATTTTAGGCTTGATGGAGATTCCTTTGTTAGCAATGACAACTTCAAGATGCTTCCTGGATGAGGAAACTAATCTTTCACAGTGTTCAGATGGGATGTTGGTCCATTTTAGCAGGGCCCCGCTGTTGAACCTTGATCTTCAGTTTCTTACACAGATTTTCAGCTGGGCTTGACTGGACCATTCCAACACCTTTATTTGCTTCCTCTGGAGCCAATTGAATGTTTTCTTTGCAGTATGTTTTGGGTCATTGTCCTGCTAGTTCAGGGGTCAGCGACATACGGCTCTTTTACTGCTCTGTTGTGGCTCCACAGCAGAATTAGATTTGTAGGTAAAAATAAAATAATCCTCCTTTACAGTAAAATAAAGCTCTGCTGATCGTTCAACACAGTTTAACAGTAAATGGTCTTAAATGCTGGAGTTAATGTAGAACTGCTAATTCACCCTTTAACCCTAAAGACTGCCGCACAGATTGCTGGTCACCATAGTAACACAGACAATGGTCTCACCTAGGTAGAAGCCAATAAGAAGGCAAAGAAAAAGATTTAAGACAAACATCAATAATTTGGAGATGAATGGACTTATTT